TTTACCTTCTAAAGATTAAAAGGAAAATCATCCTAAAATTATATCATTTCAATAAATTTTTACTAAAAAAGATTAAACTATTTTATTTTTAAAATATATATTAAAATAATTTTTTTTAAAATTTTTTAAAAACAAAACAGATAAGTGTTATATATTCTCGAACCGAACAATTAAGCACGGGATAGACGAGGATACTCCTGACATCCTTGATATGTGGCACCTTTGAAAAATGGGTTAAATTTCAATTTGGTTATTCTCAGGACGTAAAGGGCTTCTACGTGATTTTCGATACTAATAATTTTTATTAATATATTTCATAATATATTTATTAAAAAAATATATTTTAATACGATATTAAAGGTAAAAGAACTCAAAAATACGATTATACGTATAATATAAAAGAATTAGTTAAACTAGCAATCTATTGCAAATGGACATGGTGTTTAACTAAAAGATATCTGAATTATTTTTCATAAAAAAATTATTAAGAATCGTCCAAAAAATTAATGTGATGGATTTGATAAAAGAATTAGAATAATAGACATCGGCCAGGGAAAAAAAATTAAGAATATATGATATTTAAGTTAGAATCTATCTATATATAAATTTCATATATCATATTTATACAAAATCTTGATTATTTATTTCTTCATTTTTAATGATTACAGTTTATTATGATATTTTAAATAAAAAAATAATTGTTTTTAATTAATATAATAAAAAGTGAATAAATCTCAATTATTAAAAGTAAAAAGATAAATTAACATGTGTATTTAACTAAAAGATATCTGAATTATTTTTCATAAAAAAATTATTAAGAATCGTCCAAAAAATTAATTTGATGGATTTGATAAGAGAATTAGAATAATAGACATCGGCTAGGGAAAAAAAAAATCAAGAATACATGATATTTAAGTTAGAATCTATTTATATATAAGTTTCATATGTCATATTTATACAAAATCTTGACTATTCATTTCTTCGTTTTTAATGGTCACAATTTATTACGATATTTTAGATAAAAAGATAATTGTTTTTAATGAATATAATAAAAAGTGAATAAATCTCAATTATTAAAAAGTAAAAAGATAAATTAACATGTGTGTTTAACTAAAAGATGCCTAAATTATTTTTCATAAAAAAATTATTAAGAATCGTCCAAAAAATTAATTTGATGGATTTGATAAGAGAATTAGAATAATAGACATTGGCTACGGAAAAAAAATAAGAATATATGATATTTAAGTTAGAATCTATTTATATATAAGTTTTATATATCATATTTATACAAAATCTTGACTATTCATTTATCCGTCTTTAATGATTACAATTTATTACAATGTTTTAGATAAAAAGATAATTATTTTTAATGAATATAATAAAAAGTGAATAAATCTCAATTACTAAAAGTAAAAAGATAAATTATTAAAATTTTATGTATAACTGTAATATATAAAATTTATATATAAATAAATTACTCCTCATGATGTATAAATGAGAGGTCTCATAATTGCAAGGATTAAATTTATTAGTAAATAGATATCACTTTAATAGATAAGATTTTATAATTCAAAATTTGAAACTATCATTCAAAAAAACTAATTTCCTAAATAAAAAATTTAATTTCTTAAATACATTGGGTGGACGGGGCAAGTTTTTTGGACGGTGGACACATTGCCCATCCAAACTAGAAAAAATTGAAGGTCTAGTGTTTGAATCTTGAGATTGATGAAAGGGAGAGACTATCTCTCATTAAATTAATTTTACTCTCTTCATCTAATTTTAATTGTTTTAGTTTGATATTTTAATTTTTTATACATTAATTTTATATGAAAACTAGATTAAGCAATATCATTTCATTAGGTAAAAAAAAAAAAAAGAAAAACGAAATTTGCTCAAGCATCTTAGGTGTCATTAAACATAATTAATAGTGCCTGAGTGTACTTAATTAATCTAAATAGTGTAAACTGTATTGAATTTTTACTTAAAAAGATTGTTACAAGTAGAATAAAAACGCTTAGAATTTAAGTTTTACCTTGATTTTTACAACTTTGAAAATGAAAGTATAAAATTCTCCCCTCCCCTACCTTCCCTTTTCCTCAACCCAAACATGCTTTTAAGTGTTATTTTTACCAACTAGCCTCCGCCCATAACAAGGGTCCACAGTCCCTCCTACATCCATATAGCAGCAGCTCTCATCAACAGTGAACTGTGGAACTAGGTCCTCAACAACCAAATCCCGACTAGAATAACATATTGACACCAGTTGTCCTGGACTCGAACTCGTGAGAATTTCGGAGATGTTAAAGATGATGTCCCTCAAAATTCTACCTTTAAGAGGGATGGTATCGTCTCAGATTCGCCTGCTTCCACA